GATTTTGGAGTCACACCTGAATTTTCAACCACCCCTGGGTAATCTGACAAATTAAATCTTGGGAGGAACCTGGGAAAGCGGAAACGAAAATCGCGAAAGTTGTCATGGGAATTGTCGGCCGGAAGAAACAGGCTCGGAAGCGGGACGTTATCATGAAGGAATTGCGGTAATCTTCACCAAGGAGAGGGACGAGCTGCGATGTGGACGCTGGATAGTGAGGAATAGCTGCTGGTATGGGCAAACTATCAAACCCCGCATTAGGATTTCCCTAAAGTTTCCCTCATGTATTCCTGATTAGTCTTCAACACACAGGAATTTTCTCCGTGTTTCATTTCTTCCCTGGATCCCGAACTATATTTCGAATAAAGCGTGGGTCGTTGTTTGCCGTTTTCAAAGAGCAAAGACGTAGGAAAACACGGATTTTTCTAAATAAGGACCTCAATAGAGGATTATTTTAAAACTTTTTTGCACACAGGTTGAGGCGTGGTAGAGAAATCTCGTGAGAAATGTAAAAGTTTATTGCAGACCTTGCTACGGCAGTGTGGGAGTGCAGAGAGGAAATTTCCTGGATGGCTGACCATGCATGCGATTGAACGAAATCCTGTCCAGACAAAACTTTGTCCCTCAATATCTTAGGTAAAGACCCGAATAAAATAGTTTTCCTGCTTGGAATGCTTGTTCTGGCTTCCTTTCACAGTGTCCTCAGTTTCCTGGTTTCACAATCTCAACATTCCCTTAGCAGACATGGCTCTTCTCTATTCCTATTCAGAGACTATGCTGGTGTCAAGTTACAAAACTGGTGAAAGATGCAATATATACTTGGCGCTTTTGTCACGGCGGAGGACATCTCATAATGAAAACTGGGACTGTAAAAAATTTTTGAACTACAGCAGAGTGGACCCTCGATCAATAAACTTGATCGGTTCGAGGCAAAAGTTTATGAACCAAGTTAGATTTTGTCCTAAACTCCAATTCGGACAAAAATAATCCATTCTGTAAATAAAAAAACAATCAAACATTGATTATAAAGTACAGTACTTGAATCAGAACCAGTTCTTGTGCATTTTTCTTGGCACCAGAATATTTCATAGGGTTTAATAGAAGTCACAGTGATACTAACAAAAATGGTAAGCCATTACATCCAGAGAAACATCACACACTCAAAGACAGGGTGGGCAGAAAACTGAACCAATTTCAAAATTAGAATATCTCCAGCAAAAAAAGATCAAACAATGAAAAATATCAAAAGAAGGCTTAATCGGTTCTCTTTCAAATGGTTTTTTGTTTTGTTTTATATCCCCAAGTGTCATCAGATGGTCACAAAAACCGTTTGAATGAAAACTTTAAGAAGTTGAAATGTTGTCACACCACTATTCCCCCTAAGCTGCTGTCTGCTCCTGTTGATTAGAAAATGGGAACCTATCGGAAATCGAATGATGATGGCAAGAATGATACAGTATTTTCACTCCGCAAGTGGAAAGGTAACAAGATGAATCAAATTATCTGTGAATTTCCTGGTCGTCAATGGAAGAAACTGTTGCTGGTTTATTGATGATAATCCATGACTCAGGAAACTGTGAACAAAAACCCAGGAGTGGTTGTCCCAGGAGAGCAAATACCCATGAGAACACTGAGAAAGTATTGGGGAGGAGATTTTGAGCCAAGAAAATCCACCAGGAACAAGTCAAAATGTGCAGGGAAGTATCAAAGAAGCAGGAATACCAAGAAGTTCGGTTTGACGCATTCTGAAGCTTCATTTGGGGCTCAAAGTTTTCAAATCGGTGCAAGTTCATGAACTAACTGAGAATGTCAGAAAGAAGGAAGAGGAGCAGTGCACCGCTCTTTGCTGTCATATCCAATCTGATTGTGCATTGAAAGAAAAAAATTATTCAATGAGGCAAAGAAGTTTACATGGGGAACTCCCCAGAATGTTCAAAATGACTGAGTTCATGCTAAAGTGTTGAAGAAGAATGACGAAGTTCAGATGAATTGGCCATTGCGTGACCAAAAACATCTTTCAGCCTTAGTATGGCCTCACTTGGTGCTTCATCAAAACACAAGACTTCAATTTTCTTTCTTAGCCGAGGATCAACAGCAAATTCTACGGGGATGAACTTTTAAGGCCAATGCTTCCAGGCATACATGAGAGTGAATCTCATTGTGTTTTTCATCAAGATGGTGCTACAACCCAATAGGCAAGAGAAACTGCGGAACTGCAGTGATCTTATTAAACCTAAGGAATGGCCACCTTGCAGCTCTGACTGAACCCTATTGACTGCCTTATTTGGTCTGCACTTGAACAGGAGTTTCAGGATGGCTCAAAAATTCAAGATGCCCAAGACTTGAAAGATCAGACTTCGCCAGCGTGGGAAAGCCTACCACAAGCCGGCATCGCCAAGGCAATTTCGAAGTGGCGCAAGCATCTCAAGGCCATCATTGACCAACAAGTGCGACATATACAGAACATTTGTTCAACCATTAAAAGTTGGTAATCATGCATTGCATATTTTTACAATCCAGAGTGAAAAAAGTCTAGAATTGTAATCACAAATTCAATAATTTAAAGCTGCTTACTTGAATTGAGCAACACATTTTTCTGATTAGGTTTTTTCAGATGCCCTGGCTGCACCATTCCTCAAACTGTGTGACCAATAGCCTGGCTTGGATAAAAGAAGCTCTAAAGTGAGTTTTGATTATTTTCATTTTCAAACTGTTTTTTGGTGAAATCAAGAGGAGAATGTAAAATGTGCAAAATCGTTGGTTGCAACCCCTTTTTTCCAATGAGTGGGTGAGGCAAAGGTGGAACAGAAAATTGAAACATTAATTGCTTGGTGCATGACCAACCTTAGGGATTCACAATTCAGAATAAGTGCCAACTGTAATTTCTTAAACACAAGGAATTTTTTGGAAGAGGAAGTCACTTATTTTAAAAGCACAAGATGAAATTTGCGAACAAATTCAAATGCTGAAAATTTTCGTCTGTATGGCGGGTCCTTCTTCAGGAGACTGTGCTGGTTATTTGGAACATCAGGTTTTTTATGTCTGAATGAATGATTGGAAAGAGTGAAATTGCCCAGAAGATGGTTAACTGCATAGTTGACAAGGTAACTGGTAAATCAGGCATTTTTGACTGCTGGATGAGTTTTTTTTTTTTCAAAATTGTTAGGAGACTTCTGGCCTGTTTCCTTGCATTTCCAAGAAAGTGTGAAATTGGTTTTTTTTTAGAGAGAGAGGGAGAAAAAGGGGGAGATCCCCTTTTCTCAGGATTGGGTTGTTGGAAACGCAATTTGTGACCGTCCCTCTTTTGAGTAACATGAGGACAGTGATTTTTCTCAAACTTCTCCTGCCAAAACAGAGTTTTGAAGTTGGGTTTTATGACCCATTTTTATGTTTGTCTATAGCTTCTTCAACAGCAAATTTATTGCTGTTGCTGTTTTGGCAGTTAAGTGGGCTCTCATGCCTGGGCAGAAGCAGCATTTCCTGCACGTTTCACTAGAAATGGGTTTTTTGGTTCCTCACAAATATCCCCCCTGTGTCCCTTTAAGAAATCAGAGCTTTCAGGAATGTGACCAAGAACCAATTTTCAACAAGAGACACACAGTTCCATGTAGGCGATAAAATCCAGGGTGACTGTTTTTGGAACTCAGTCTATAAAACTCAATACTGGCAATGAGTGAACCTTGTGTGAATCAGGGGTTTCTGCTTCCATATCCTGGCCTGGATGAGTCATTGGGTTTGAAGACTTTGAACTATTTGATGGCTCTTGCTTGGCAAGGTTTTTGTTTGGATTCCCTTTCAAGGTGTCTTCATTTGTGTCCCCCAATTATCCTTATTTGTCCTTGGTTCATCTCACCAAGCTTGTGCTTTGTTGGTCCCAGTATCCAACAACCATTGATGTTGGGGGTTTGTGTTCTTATGCCAGTGTGCTTCTGTTGCAGCAGTGTAATTCTGATTTCTGTGTGAGTCCTGATTTGAGTGTGACTCATCTGCATGCTTTCCCTTGCACTGTGTATTCTGCCGAAGTTCTTGCTGCTTTGGTGGGGTGTGTGTGCCATTATCCCTTTGATTATGGGACATATGTGCCTTTTGACCAAAGCCATGGGATCAAAATGTGGCCTTCCATACTGCGGCTTAAAGGTTTTGATTTCCTTGTTTTACCCTTCTCCCCCAGGATTTGTTATATCCCAGCATTGTTGTGGCTTGAGCAAAATAGTCATTTGCGCGAGTGATATCTGAAGGCACTGAAATTAGTGTGAACTTGCTTGTTGTGATGGAAGGTGGCAACAAGAATGATTTTTTCACCAGAGATCAGGCTTGGTACCCTGAGGTGAGTGCAAGGAGTGTCATTGAGCAGGCAATGCTTTCTTTTGGCAAGGAGATGCTTCCTCAGCCTGAGTATTGTTTTCCTCAAGGCACGAGAAAATAACTTTTGAAGCTAAAATATTTCCACGCAGCTATTGAGTACTTCAGTTGTAGTTCCCCTGCCCCTCTTTCAAAATGGGGGCATGAACAATTGCTTTGGGTGGCTGGGTTTTGAATTTTGAAGGAAGTTATAATGGAACAATGTACAGATACGACAGAAACCAAATGCCTTCAGTACACAAAGGAGAGAGAGGAATGCATATCACTTTTAAATGATGGATCACATCCATGCTGGCAGAAGATGACCTGGTTTCTAGCCTGCCTAATGATCATGACCATAGTCCGAATATATGCATCTACTCTTTTGTACCTCATCCCTGGACATCCCCCTTGAGGAATCATTGTTCAGGTTCCCATATAGACGGATGCTGCGTGCTTCAGGCAGCATCCCTCTCCCTGGTTCCAGGCTCTGCTTGGAGGGTGAGAATTCTCTCTCTCCTTATCCTCACGCGCTGAGGGTGAGAATTCTCTCTCTCTCTCTCCTTACCCTCATGCGCTCAGTTTTAGGCAACCCTGCGCTTCGTGGGGTATTTCCCCAGGGATGCGTATCTTTCAGGAATTTGAAATGAACTATAGAGTTTGTTTTTTAGCGCCGGATTTATTCACATTAAAATCTCACTTCCTCGTTTCCAACAAAACGCACAGCTGATCCCGTGCTCTCGAAAAACAAAAAAAGGAACACAAGAAAAGCCGCCACAGGGAATGGATCAGATAGGGAAGAATGCTAACTATTGATGAATTCTTCAGATATCACACTGAAAACCTTCCGACGTGATTCAAAAACTCATCACGGGACAGCTCGCCCTCAAAAGCTGAATGCGGGGCAAAGCTGGAATTGAGCGAAATTCCATCACCAAGCTGCTGTTCCCCTTCATTCTTCTAACTTAGCGACATCTCTTGGAGAAGATTCCAAAGGAGTAGTAACGGTGGCTCTGCGTTCCTTTGGTTTCTTCCGTGTAGGTGTCTCGCCTAACTCAATGTCGTTTCGCCCAGAAACTCGACGATGACCGCGGGACGTCACGGATTGATGCACGATTGCCAACACAATAATGGCTATGATTCCAAGGAGCGACATCAGTCCAATGCTTACAATGACATGACGGTGGAAAGTCTCCGCTCCGTTCTCCCCGGTTTCAAGTTCGGCTTCGACTTGTTGAGCTTTGTTGTTAGAATTCTCTGGAAAATATTTAATTCAGTGAATACCCCAGGTGAGGCACTAAAGCGATGAAAGTCGCAGAGTTGAACATATCAGTGGCGCCATGAAGCATTCCAAGAACCCTTCTCAAATGTGGCTACGGAAGACAGCTAGGGCCTAATCGTTTTCGAACCTACGAAATTACCCCAGAACAATGCATTGTAACCGAAGTTCCGTATGACACATTTTTTGCAACGAGTCGCTTTTGGCATTCATGTTGTTCTACCGCGACCTAATTAAATGCCTGTCTCACTTTTCCCAGTTCATTTTACAATGTCAAGAGCGCTGGCAGAATGAGAAGTCCTAGTTGCCAGCATGCCAGTACCTTAAAAGGAAAGACTTTCGGCGCGTACAAAAAAATTAACATAGATGGCCCGCCAATATTACAATGAATCTTGGTATACAAGCTCCAATTATGGGATGGCACTTCAGAAAATTCGGAGGACCCAGAGACTCACCATGATCCAGGAATTCTTCTTCTGGTGAAGCAGATGAGGATGTCGGGACTTCGGGGCCAGCTTGCTCAAGCGGTGTCGCGGGACGATTATCCGCCAACATCTCTGGATAAAAAGTTCACCAATAAACAACCCGAAATGCTGGCGATTTCAATGATAAGCTTCGGAAAATCCTGCGACCAAAATTGTAAATCACCCGTCGTTAACACTAATTCAATTCTTGATGCTTCGGGGATACTGGTGAGGATTCCATGAGGTGCTGTGAAGCCATTCGCGCTATCTGCATCATTCGATTTTGTATCTTCTCCAGATGTGGGGCTCAGAGTTGTGCCTCGCAGTTGCGCCGTAGCTAGATTACGTAAAGCAAGCATCACTATGCATACTTCCTCTTAGTCCAAAATAGAAGATCTCACTACTTTTCGGTGAGGCTGAAGATGCTGAGGTAGTGCCCAGCGATGGATGGATGATGGGAGTTTGGTTCGCGGCGTAACCTCGAGTCATATCCCAGGAGAACGCTCGTCAATTACGTTCAACTAGACTTTAGTTTCCACCGCGAGAATACTCCGTCGTCCGGTTCGTGTTCTGATACCGTCAGGTGCGAACTTTATGAGAAGAAATTACGTACCGGTACGTAGGAACCTCAACGTGACAATGCAGTAAAGGGTGAAATAAGGTACAGTAACGTGGTGAACTCTTGCGGGAAATAAGAGCCACAATATGCTTGCCAAGGAGTACTCTGCAAGTAAACATATTCGTGGGGAAGTCAGGAAATTATTGCTCCCCTTTGGAGCAATACCCTGGTTTGTACAGTTTTTGTTTCCCCCGAAGTAAGAATCTGCTGGACCCGTGTGATTTACGTCGAAGAGCTTGCTTTTGAGAAATCAGAATTATTTCCTTTATATCATTATCTTCATCGAAATTTACAGGCGCATACCACCTCAGGAAAGAATCAGCCAAATATTTTCTGGGAGAAATCGTGGTCGGCCATTGATTGCGGCGCAAAGTGAAAGCCCTGTTTAATCTCTTGATCGGGTTCATGTTCTCGGCGTGAAACTGAGGGTATTAACAGCAGAAGTTTCACATCGAATGTGGACAGAATCGGTCAAGTTGAACTGTCATTCCCCCAAAAACATTACCCATGGAGTAAGAACTAGCTTGCTTTTCAACTACCCTCACTTTGACTAGAGCCAACCTCAAACCAGGTAAAGCAAAACTCGGGGAGAACATGAAAAGGTTCCGGACGAACAAGATTTAAAAAATACATATGCCTACTGTGAATGGGCTAATTCTGGCACAAAAAAACGTACAGTCGAACCTTAAGTTAGTGCCACCATTCCTCCTATGGCACTAAGCCAGGGCAACACGAAATTTAAGGGCATTGCAAAAGAGAAAAGTTCCGTTCAGGGTCTCCATCGTAGATTAATACAGGAAGGTCATTCGCAGAATGCTTTGGCCAGTCCGTGTTCAAGAAAAAAAAGGCGGAAAACACGTTAAGCTGAAATGGGCCGTTCCTTTTGTCGTTACAAAATATTTCTTACGACGAGAAGTATTATATATTGAAACACATCATGTCTAGTAAATGAGAAGAGCTGTTCCTAGAGTGTGCATTAGAGTTTTATATCAAGTAGAAGTGTATATAAAGGATCATTTGTGTTTCCACAAAAGCTTCCTCGTCACGCAGCAACAGAACAGCTTGGAACAACATCAATTCAAAATCTAAATGGCCTGAAACTTATCCGAGTTTTATGACGTCATGGGGACGTTATTCCCAGTAATGGTTACGCATTTATAACTTGATGAATTCCTCAGTAAAAATGCTTTAGTATCTATGATTTTCGCCCATTTTTTTCAGAAATGACAAGATTTTTTTGCGCAGCATTATATGGAGGGAGATATTGCATTGGGGAAATTGGAGGCACTAATTAGACTAATATCCTTCCCAGATACTTTTAGACTTTTCCTGAGGATGTAAAATGCTTGTTCAGGGTAGGCANCCAGCATGCCAGTACCTTAAAAGGAAAGACTTTCGGCGCGTACAAAAAAATTAACATAGATGGCCCGCCAATATTACAATGAATCTTGGTATACAAGCTCCAATTATGGGATGGCACTTCAGAAAATTCGGAGGACCCAGAGACTCACCATGATCCAGGAATTCTTCTTCTGGTGAAGCAGATGAGGATGTCGGGACTTCGGGGCCAGCTTGCTCAAGCGGTGTCGCGGGACGATTATCCGCCAACATCTCTGGATAAAAAGTTCACCAATAAACAACCCGAAATGCTGGCGATTTCAATGATAAGCTTCGGAAAATCCTGCGACCAAAATTGTAAATCACCCGTCGTTAACACTAATTCAATTCTTGATGCTTCGGGGATACTGGTGAGGATTCCATGAGGTGCTGTGAAGCCATTCGCGCTATCTGCATCATTCGATTTTGTATCTTCTCCAGATGTGGGGCTCAGAGTTGTGCCTCGCAGTTGCGCCGTAGCTAGATTACGTAAAGCAAGCATCACTATGCATACTTCCTCTTAGTCCAAAATAGAAGATCTCACTACTTTTCGGTGAGGCTGAAGATGCTGAGGTAGTGCCCAGCGATGGATGGATGATGGGAGTTTGGTTCGCGGCGTAACCTCGAGTCATATCCCAGGTCTTGCGAGCAGTTAATGCAAGTTGATCTGAAATCAAAGGTGGCGCTCTTATGAGGCAGCAGGCCAAGCACAAGACTATGGCAGTCCACGCTTGAAATACTCTTCTTTAATGCATGGCCATGCATCCCACCTCAACGTGACAATACAGTAAAGGGTGAAAAAAGGTACAGTTACGTGGTGAACTCTTGCGGGAAATCAGCCACAATATGCTTGCCAAGGAGTACTCTACAAGTAACCATATTCGTGGGGAAGTCAGGAAATTATTGCTCCCCTTTGGAGCAATCCCCTGGTTTTTACAGTTTTTTCCCCCGAAGTAAGAATCTACTGGACCTGTGTGAATTACGTCGAAGAGCTTGCTTTTGGAAAATCAGAATTCTTTCCTTTATATCATTACCTTTATCGAAATTTACAAGCGCATACAACCTCTGGAAAGAATCAGCGAAGATTTTCTGGGAGAAATCGTGGTCGGCCATTGATTGCGGCGCGAAGTGAAAGCCCTGTTTAATATCTTGTTCGGGTTCATGTTCCTGGCGTCCGAGTAAGAATATTAACAGCAGAAGTTTCACATCGAATGTGGACAGAATCGATCAAGTTGAACTGTCATTCCCCCGAAAACATTACCCATGGAGTAAGAACTAGCTTGCTTTTCAACTACCGTCACTTTGACTTGAGCCAACCTCAAACCAGGTGCAGCAAAACTCGAGGAGAACATGAAAAGGTTACGGACGAACAAGATTTAAAAAATACATATGCCTACTGTGAATGGGCTAATTCTGGCACAAAAAAACGTACAGTCGAACCTTAAGTTAGTGCCACCATTCCTCCTGTGGCACTAAGCCAGGGCAACACGAAATTTAAGGTCATTGCAAAAGAGAAAAGTTCCGTTCAGGGTCTCCATCGTAGATTAATACAGGAAGGTCATTCGCAGAATGCTTTGGCCAGTCCGTGTTAAAGAAAAAAAAAAGGCGGAAAACACGTTAAGCTGAAATGGGCCGTTCCTTTTGTCGTTACAAAATATTTCTTACGACGAAAAGTATTATATATTCAAACACATCATGTCTAGTAAATGAGAAGAGCTGTTCCTAGAGTGTGCATTAGAGTTTTATATCAAGTAGAAGTGTATATAAAGGATCATTTGTGTTTCCACAAAAGCTTCCTCGTCACGCAACAACAGAACATCTTGGAACAACATCAATTCGAAATCTAAATGGCCTGAAACTTATCCGAGTTTTATGACGTCATGGGGACGTTATTCCCAGTAATGGTTACGCATTTATAACTTGATGAATTCCTCAGTAAAAATGCTCAAGTATCAATGATTTTCGCCCATTTTTTTCAGAAATGACAAGATTGAAAACGCGTCGTAATATACCTCCCTCTATAACGTAACCCCTTTAACCTCCGTGATTAATCTGATTATAGGAAGGGTCTATGAAAATCTGAAAAGGACTCCTACATTTTACGAACAAGTCCCATCCGTAACATGCTAATTACTATTACCATATTCAGCACATTGCTATCATTAACGAGTAATATGCTCAATATTTGCCAGTTATTCAACTCGATCGAATATTTCAAAATTAATGCAAGTCTTGCATAATGTGTCCTAGTCTTTTACAACCATTTTTTCCAAAAATGTCGCACCTGGATCGTGCTCGGTCGCAATTTCATCCTCAGTTTCATAATTTTCGCTGTCCTCTTCACGTACGGAGTTAGCCGGTTCATGGTGATGATCATGGACCTGTTCGTCTTCCACCTGTTCGTCTTCCTCGACATCATCCGGATCGAATCGGTCCACAATCTTTTCCGTTGGCAACTCGGAATCCTCTTCGCGAAGCAAAGGACGCTTTCTGCTAACGGTTTCATTCGAGCCCATGAATCGCTTTAGATCATCCATTCTTTCGTCCGAGATGACACGATGTTTTTCCGTATTCTCTTCATGATGGAAGACAGACAGCAGCTGCCCTTTAAGACCTCTCCAGATATCAAAAATTTCTGACTCCGGAGACTGATTGGTATCCTCTAATTCAGTATCACTTGCATCGTCTGTTGAGTTCATGCTGACCTCTGAATCATCCATGTCAATATCAAACACCGAAAGGCTTTGTTCGGTCCGCGTTTCTTCCTCCGAAGCATCTCGACGTACGTGTGACCTAGCCTTGTATTGCCTACACATTTCTTCAATATCGTCACGTGAGAGCTTTCCCTGCCGAAAAAAGGCGACGAATGCAATTCCGCTCAGCAGGCATCAAAACTAAGATTCACTTCGCAAATCTTGCTTTTAATTCTGAATAAGAAGTCCTGGATTCCAAATTAGATCCTAAAGTTTTTCTTTATCAAGATGGGACGAGGCCATGTACAGTGGGGACCCGGGGGTACATAGACGTTATCTTAACTTGGACCTTGTCCCTATGTCAGAATGTCTGCATGTTAGATCGAGTTTTACTCCAGACTTCAACAGTAATGTGTACAATAACTGGTTCATCTTTTAAAAAATTTTTTGGAAGTTCTCAAAATATTGAATCAAATAACTTTTGAACCATATAATTTCCAAACTTGAAAAATAAAAAATTCTGCATGAGAAAACCACAAAATCTGATTTTCGACATGAAAAAGGCCAAAAAATTTTAATCGGGTTTCTGAAGCTATTATCATTTGAAAAGATTAGCTTTTCAAAATAAATTAGCAAATGCCCACTTTGGTGTCTTATCCGTGGAATTCAAGTCAGAAGAACCATCGATAAAAAACGTTCCAGCATTGAGATTTATGTTGAAAAAGTGATCAAACCTATGAATGCACCGACATAAGAGACAAATTCCAAGCACTATTTACGACTGTATTTCAGAACCAGAGCGTGTAATCTGAATTTAGACGAGTCCAACACATGAATAACAGACGATTAAAACGCAAAAATTACTGACGAATAATTGTTTCGCAGGAGTATAAATTACGCTTGTGGCATCGATCTTTCTACCACGAAGATATTCAGCATGAAAACCGGGACGAAGTTTTCCAGGATTTTTTTTTTTCCTTTTTTAAATTACCAAGTCTCTACAAACCTTCAGAAATCACCTCGTTGGGAATTAGTCAAACCCATTAAGGTTCCATCAAGGACGAGCCACAACCATGGGCATCTGCCAATTCATTTTCAAAAACTAATCGTCTCTTATGATAGCTTGATAAACCCGGTTGAAAAAATCCGCCAAAATTTTCGACCACTCAAATAAGCCTGAAAATATGATGCCAGAAATTAGTCCATGTGAGTCCACGGAGACAATTCAAGTTTCTGTTCCAGGTCTCAAATAAATGGAAAAAAGCACGAGAATGAGATAATTAAACTTCTTGGAAAAAAGTCTAGATATATAATTTATGTATCACAGGATTATTCTGACTGTTTTCTACAAGAATCAGAAGTTCATATGTCATTATACCCATTTCTCATGTCCTGTATACGAGTATTTTTGATGAACCAACCCCCTTTACAAAAACCCAGTTAAACCGCCATAAACCTTGCTAACAAATGCTGGTGGCTTATCTTGGTTTGACTTTTTTTTTTTCTTGGTCCACAAATGCAGTTTACTAACCTCGAGTTGCTTTGAAAGGTGGTGAATAATGACGCCAGTCGCCGAGCCACAACTCAGGTTTTCAGCCAGTGCGTTGCGCACGCGGAAGAGAGAGGCCTGCGCACTGAGAATCAATTTGCCCAGCCCAGGTTCATCAATTGCAGGCTTCTCATGAGGGATGATTCTTGGCGCGAAGAAGTCAGATTCGTTGTTCCAGGACCGAAGAGGATAGCTCGGAACAGGAATGGCAGCTCTTCCCTGGTTGTCCCGACCTTCAACTTCAATTAGCAGGATGTGTGATTTCGGGTTCGCGGTGACCGAGATTTTATTGGTTGAAGACTCATCACTTAGGCTTCGACGAACTTTCGACAAACTGGGACTCTTGGGATGACCATCGTGCAGGTTCAGTTTCAGATTCAGATACCTATTGTCCTCCTTGCTCTCCTCCCCAAAGCCAATGAACCAGTCCAGCTTTTCAGCCAGGCTGTCTTTTTCCTTGCCTTCGCTTGTTCTGTCGGAGCCAGAATTTGCGAAAATGCGATCCAGTTCACCAGATATTTCTTTCATGCGCTTGCTAACTTTTTTCCAGTTTGAAATCATGTTTTCATCGCCTTCATCATTGAACAGGACATCAGCATCATCCACCAAGAGGCGCAAGATTTCGGGTGCGTGCTTCAATACTTCAGAAAAATTGTCACCTACGCAAACGAGAAACTGCTCGATTTTACGGAACAAGAATACTATACTTCCAATGGAAAACGTAAGTACAGTATTCTTGTTCCATGAACTTGGAATTAAGTTTGAACTGGATTCGTTGATTACGAATAAGAAGTTGAAAACTAGTGTGATGCGTTGGTCACCATCTCTCGTCCCGGGATCAGCTTCCGACACGTTCCAAATCAATAATTGTTCTGCCATGGAACGGCACATTCAACTGTGCATATCAAGATTCTCGCTCCTGTATTGTGGTGGTTTCTTTACGACGGAGAATGAATACAATGCATGAATTTCAAGTGAAACAGAAAATAAGGTACATTTCTTGGAATTATGCAGGTTGAACGATGCAGCATGGATAATATGCTCACAATGAACACTACAGTATGTCACCTGGAAATCAAATTCGTAACGAACATTCCAGCGTGCAGTACTTTCTAGATTCGGGAGAAATTCGCAATATAATCGGCCGAACTGCATTGCTCATAGATGTTCAATATGTTCAAATGTACAGAACAAGGGAACATCATGTGTCCGGATATTTTGATGGATGTCATATTTATTATATAGATGCTACAGATGGGAGCATTACGAACAACTCAACACCATGCAGTCCCGGTCTCCATTGCGTCCAAAACTAGTTCCTACCGCAATAACTTCGCGTCGCACCGTTCCAACCACCTTCTTATTTGAGACTTGCATAGTTTGTGTTTTGGGGGCATCATAAATTAATTTCAGAACTCTTCGTCTTAAAATGAAGAAAATAAACAAACCTTACCTACCATCTTTGAAAAATGTGAGCCTTGAATGATGAATCATTGAACACGAAGCTTTTTTTTTTCTATTTCAATAAGACAGTTGTCCCGTACACAACAAAGAATGAGATGTCGCAGGGAGCTCGGAACGTCTTTGAGTTTATATAATCTCTTCGGAAACAATGAGACGAGGACTGGTACAGTTTACCGGTCCAGGGGAACTGAACTGATCAAGAGCAGGCAGGGAACGCGCAGAAGTTCGAGTAATACTGTATGTCGAATATTGCGTGAAGAAGCAAAGGCATTAACTGAAGGTTTGGAGAATCGACATCACATGATGCAGTCCAGCATTCAGAAAAATAATTTCAGGTGTCAGACGTTCATAAAAAGTTTTACGAGCTGAAAGATCTCATAACGAAAGGCAAAAAGTTTGGCTTGAACAGTTCGTTGAATTAGAATTCTTGGAGAATAAATTTAGTCGGCATTTCACTTGTTTATTCTACAAGTTGTGTCTCATACGGTACTTTTTCTGGGGCATCCAGCAACAATTTGCACCACCCAGTAAGATAATGATATGGCAATGAACAGTGTTCAGGGTTGCACGACTGTCTGTTCAAATCATCAAAATTCAATCACTTATTTTCGCAAGCTGTGAAATACATTATATACACACAGCTGGAATCTCGAGTGAGATCATCTTGACTGCAATAATGTTCTCTCAAGTAATTTTTTTCCTGCTCTCTATTGATTTTGTTTTTAAAGAGTCCATATAAAAGGTTATAGCCCCTGAATAGACTTCAAGATAAATTAGAGCCGGCAGAGACGCGGAAATACAAGCCTCTGCGTGAATCAGACTTCCTTATTTTGTCTGCGAATCGCTAGAAAATAAGATGGAACTCCAATGAATAGCATGCAGCCTGCCGAATCAAACTTCTCCTTGTCCTCCGAATGGTTATTCAGGGCGAAAAAAGCAATTTCACCACTTACTTGGTTTCTTCGGGGGCGGCGGACTAGGATTACGGACGTCAGCAAGATTCAAATACTCCGCTCGAGCGCACATCGCCAACGAAAACAGAGTTACCGCGGAATAAATCGCTTCAAGTTCCATCGAGGATCCAAAAAATCAACGATCGCACGTACTCAACGACGGACGGATTTCACAGTCTTCAAACCCGAATAAGCGCCGTCTCACACATGAACGCTCCCTTTGCTAAAATGTATATTAAGAGTTCAAGGTTTCCAAATGCAGCCGTGCGCTAATGCAGCAACTATAAGAATGACAATAACCATGGACTGCTCAAAGTCGGCCAACGGAAACGATTCCCGCAAACCATGGCGTCACACACGTACAAACCGGATTGTTATTGTATAGAAGAACTTCAGGTTCTAGTTCTGGCTGAGCAAGCGCACAAATGCCAAGGAGGCAATATTTTATCCTACAATTCTTCACAGTTAATCCATACGAATTGGTTTTGGAAGTTTTCCCAATGAGTTTGGCATCCATGCAATGAGAAGAGAAATTACTCTGGAAAAGAATCCTGTGTTGGTACTGTACTTGGTAGTTACACTCTTATAGGGCTTAGGAGAAAACACCGGAACGTATCTTCCAAATTTTTCATGCATAAGGTGCTGATAGAAAGTACCGTGGCTCTGTTTGAAAAATCCTGGCATATTTAGTTGTATGAAAACAGAAAAAATTAGCACTCCTAGGATTGAGATTTCTGGCGAACATGTTAATCGTCGTGTCTGAAATGAATCGTGTAAGGGGATTGATGTCGTGGCGTGATGGCATACTTACCGATATTTTGAAAGAAAATGGTAGTAATATTTCTTTGAAGAAAGGGGACATAGAAAATCTTATCTGCTCAGTATATTAAAACTTCCCATTTAAAGAATAGAAGGTCAGTGAGTAAAATTACAGTTTGTAAACGTACTATACAGGTGGAAATCCTTACCACAATATTTAGTTGAACCTTGATTAGTCCAACCTCCGTGAGTCAAATACCACCCTAACTAATTTTTTTTTTCAAATCCCTGTCTGTATCCCCTTAGAGACAATGCATTAAAGCCCCCCTAAAACTGGTAGTATTTGTTATCAGCTGTGCAAAAACCATTCAAACTTTCCTAGAACCCTGGTGAGTTTGGCACACTTGCTCATTACCCTTTGGCATTGGAGGGTTCTTTCCCATTGCCAGCTGAAGTCCAATTATTTTTGTATGCTGTGGTGTTTCAAGTTTTCTGAAGGTCAGAAAAGCCCTTCAAGGTTGGCTGAGGCAAAGTGGGGATTAATCCAAGAAAAGCCTGTTCCTTAAGCATATTTTTATTTTCCAAAGAAATTTTTCTGCACAAAGAGAAAAAAACATTTGGATTTTTCCCAACTTTGTCCTCAACTCCCTGTTGTCATTTTTATCTTCTCTCAGGTGAAACAAATTTTGCAAAAATAGTCCAACTTTGACACCCAAGGGTTAATGCAGGACAGCTGTGTGAGGGCAAACATTGTTTCTCTAGCATATATATATATTCACCATAAGTTCATAATCACCCCAAGTAATGGAATGCCAACAGAATATCAAATAGATGCAAAAAACACTGTTGCAGAGAGACTTGGTCCTTTCTTTGATCGCCGGCCTAGATCACCTGATTGCTTGCCCATCATATCAATTACGTCTGTCTGATTCTCCAAAGTTAATATAATGACCCCAATCCTTCACAAATTTTCAGCAGTGAAAGAACCCTCCGTCAAAGAGCCCAGTATGTAGTAGGAAATAATTTGCAAGGCATTTATGTTGTAGATAGATGAATAAAAAATGTCTAAATAAATATCATACATTTCAATTTACTTCACTTAGGTACTTAGTGTACCTGGTTTTGAATGCATCTGGAGAAATAGGAAACAAATCTAATTTTAAAACGTTTTATGCAGGTTGGATTATTCTCTTAAAGGTTGGCAACACTCAGGGAATCAACCTGTGAGCCAAAAAATTGTTTGTTTATGACAATAAAATTGGTGCAGTTAGTACTCCTTTTGTGCCTGGGGAGTGACTGGTCAGACCAGTTAAATATCCTAGACTCTACTTTGTGTAGAAGGTGACAAGTGCAAGAAAGAAAAAAAGTGTAAAAAGAGTGTTCTGTCCTGAAGAGACAAAGATCCTTAGGAACGATGACGTTCTGCCTGTGCAAGGAGAACAAAACAATCAAACAGTTGCCTACAAGGAAAAGGGGCCAAAGAGTTGCCATCAAGGAAAAGAGACCAAAGATTTGCCTACAAGGATCCCAGGAATCCAGCTTGTTCAACCCTTTTGAGGCAAACGGTTCTTTCCCATTGCACTGCAAGGTCAGACTTTTTCATATGCTGCATTTTAATACTTTTGGACGTCACAGAACCTCAGCCAAGTTGGGTGAGGAAAAGTTTGACAAAAACTAGGGAGTGGGGTCTCTTGATTTTTCTGAAGTCAGACTTTCCCTGATTGTCCCCTCAAGTCGCATTGCCTTTAGATCCAAAAATGAAAGCCAAAAAACAATTTTAAATTTTTCTGCAGATACAATTTCTTTAAAGTTATTTTGATAATATCTCGAATCCAGCCACTACAAGGAAACATTCCAAAAATGTCTTCCATCTCAACTTGTTCCTCCAGCTATTTTGTTCATGCCTTCTTATGGCTTTAATCTCTCATTTTTCCACAAATCATTTTTCAAGGAACAGTGCAAGTGTCTGAATGAAAGTAGCAAGCTTTTTCTGCAACAAAGATGAAAGAGTGTTAGAGAGATCAAGACAGACTTGAGGTACCAATACAATTCCAGAATACAAAAAAAAATCCTGAGCCCTGAGAATACATTTTCTTTTCTTCAGCAAAAATGTGATTGTTTACTTACTGCGAATAAACACAGGAAAATAACATATTGAGTAATTTTATTGTATACATGTTTCAGCAGTTGTACCTGGGAATGTCCATCCAAGGAAGAACCGGCGAGGCGCGGCGGCGGGATGTGTCCCGGCGAGATTTGGGCCGTTCCCATTCCCGTTCGGGGCGATATTGATGTGACACCTGTCGGACGTTTAGAAGACCCCCGTGAGGAGGATATTCGGGAAATAGAACCCAATCCATTAATTTCATCATACCAATATTCATCGGACGTAGAATGAGCCAAGACTCATGATTATGAGTCTGGTAGCTTCATAACAAGGCTACGAACCCCTTCCATTTCTAACCGTGATCTGCTGCACATTCTGTCTTCAAAAATAATCCGCGAAAAACCTCTCGCTGAGAAAACGCCACACTATCTCTTACACGAAATCCGTTGGTTACACCTTGGGAAAGACCCAAGAAAAAAATCGCCCGACGTTCCATTACACCCTCATTCGATGGTCTGAATACTTCTTGTCAGCCGGTTCTTCAAGCGCAGTGTCTCGGATATCTTATATTTCACCTTGGCTGAAAACAAACATGAACTACAGTACAATATTCATCTTGGGAAGAGCCACGCGAAGAAATCGCGGAAATCTGCAGACCCATTCCATTATCTGACACCGGAATAGGCATGTGATGAAGTCGTCAATCGCGGGTTAAATTGGAGATCGCTCCACAAAAACAGCGATTGTCCAGAGCAGCTCGCTGCTTGAACCACAACTGTCACGGGTGAAATGCAAGCAATAAATCACACAGGATTCAAACGAGGACGCCTCGCCGGTTTGGAGCGTGGAGGGTGATTTGCGTACATAAATCATCCGCATAATTTGATCGAACGCAGGACACAGTCGTAAACAAACGCAGCCCTAAAAGTTCTCGACGCCATAGCACACATACGCATTTGTAATCGCTTTTACTCTGAGCCAGATGATTGATAGGTGCGTGGAAAACTAGAATTGAGACGAGCAGAATGATGAATAAATGAGAAATAATTTTCCGTTGTTTGAAACTTCGACGAAGAAAGCAGTGAATTATATTGCTGCTACTAGAAACTAGACTCTTCATGAATCTCTCGCTACTTTTCCACCCGTCGGAATTTACAGGAAAAATATTTGTTTTTTTTTTATGTGGAAGGACTAAAATAATCCAGTGAATGACGGCAGTTTCGTACGCCTGTCAGCCATTCTAAGAGCCCCGAATGCAATCGATTGTGGCATCATTTCGAAGACCCCTTATTGAATCATGCTCCTGGAGGGTATTACGCTTCAAAAAATTCAATTATTGCGTCAAGAGTGTGGTGGAAGCTTGCAAAATGCCAACAAGGAAAGAAATATATTTTCTTCCGAATCCAAGTATACCTGCCATTTTCTAACCAAAAATTAAGAAAAAGTCACTGTGACATCCCTCATTGCTACTTTCGATGTATATTTCATACCTGAGAAAATATCCCATGGACCAGCAAGAAACTTCTGCAGACCAACGCCAATCCTCAGACCATTGGTTGGGGAACACCACTAGACTAGGTAACTCATGCTTCAGGAAATGAAGGGCAAATGATGACTAGACAAAACAAAATTCCGGAACAGGTTTCTTTGTTTGCATATTTTCCTTGATTTTGATATAGTACTATAGGAAAGATTATTGTGAGATTTCAGATGGTTCAGGTTGGGAAAAAAGTAGCAATTAACCTTTGGATGGTAGAGGGTTCCTTTTCAGTGTGTGGCAGCATCAGGATTTTTCCAGTAGGTGTCAAATTTCAGTCTGACCCAAGGTCACTGAAATGCACCCATGTTGAGACAGCTTGGGAAAAATCTGGGAGGTAAATTTTCTATTGGTTTCACAATTTTCCCATGCACATCCTATGCCAGGAATGCAGGAAAAAAATGCCAACCTGTGAGGGATTTGTTTTGATTTTTTGAAAACAATTTTCTGCAGGATTAGAAAAAAAACATTCTTCTTGACTTAGGCCATGATACAAAAGTAGGTTTTTTTTTCAGCACACAGTGCTGGCAAAAAATTTTTGAAAAAAAAAACTTGACTCAATGCTCAAATGTTAGACATTGCAGGGTCATAGGAGCATGCATCTATTAGGAGGGAAAATGGTATGAGTTATCCCAATGGTCCAGTTCTCCCGGTTTCGGGTCGCCTTGAATATTTACACTGAATTAATTTCTCTTGGAATAATTTGGTGCGGCAGGGTATTACCCACAAAGATGGCTAGGATATGTCTCTTTCGGCTGGATCATCATCACCGTTAGTATAATTGAATCTTATTTTGATGAGGTTGGATTAGGTTATGTAAGACCAGTTCAATTTTATTTTTGTTACGGTGTTAGCACAGTACATACCTTTACAACCACAGCATACACCAGCAGG